CCCGGGGAAGCCCCGCGTGTTGTCTGCAGCAGCCCCCGCGTCTGCAGGGGCGCGTGCTACGCGCTGCCGCCCCTCTCGCGCTGGTACCGCCTCTGCTCTCCGATGGCTCGCTCCAGCCGGGGGAGGTCCAGCCCTTCCACGCAGGTCAGCACCCGGGCCTTCACCACCGCGCCTCCGTCTGCAAGACACGAGCCGCCGGGCACGAGCTGCGGAGGAGCCGGGCACAGGCGGCCCCGCGGGCTGTCGCCTTGGCCCCCGCACCACAGGCGCACGCCTGGAGCCGAGAGGGTGGCCCAGAAAGTCCGGCCCTCCGGGGGACACGGGCGGAGACACCTATCCTCTGCCTCCCTCCCTCGCAGCTTAATTCTTGCCACCTTTCTACAGGCCCCAAGAGCCTGGGGTTGAGGGGTCGCAGTCGCCACCCCAGTTTTCCATCTGTACCAAGGGAAGGGCATCCTGGCACCCTCTGGCATTGGAAATCAGGGCAAAGAGGACCCCATCTGTANCTGGCACCCTCTGGCATTGGAAATCAGGGCAAAGAGGACCCCATCAACCCCAGGGGAGAGTCATCCCACCCCCTGCACGAGGGGCAAAGGGGGGGGCTTCTAGCAGGTGCTGTGGGGACCTCATGAAAAGGTCTGTCGGTGTTCAAGTGACATCAGACAGGAAAAAAAAAAAAGACACCTGGAGTTTGCCCCTGTTGGTTTTTCTTTTATTTATTTTTGCACTCATGTGCTCCCCGCTCTGCAGATGAACCGGGGCATGCACTCAGTGCTCCAGATCGCCGTTCCGGTCTTCCTTAGGTGCAGCTCGGGGCCACGGGCTCTCTGATCAGCAGCGCCTATGCCCAGCTTTCCTCCCGTCCAGGCCACGGGGACTTGACTTAGCACAGCCTGGGGGCCGAATGCAGAGTGCTGGCCAGTGTGGACTCCAGTCTTCCGCAGGGGAAGGTCGACGTGTGGGAAACACGGGGTCACCTGTGTGTCGCTGACTCCCGCTGGCCCCGGTGATGGGCTGCAGAGGCTGCACAGCCAGGCGTGCAGCGGGCAAGGGGCAATGCCTGGGTCTGTCGGCCAGTGTCCACGGTGGACTCTCCACCCTCTTCAGGAACAGCCGGGCTAGCGACGCTATCAACCAGACAGGGCGTCCGCCCCAACGTCTCGTGGCGCTGCGAGGCCTGCACCTTTCCTTGGGACACGTGTGGCCCTAAATGGCTTTCACAGAGCAGCTGCGTGTGCTCAGGGCGAGGCGGGGAGAGCAAGGGCAAAATCGGAGTCTAATTCACAGTTAAAAAATCTCCAAATAGGGCTCTGGCTGGGAGCAAGAAGGAGGGATGGAGGGACAGGCGTCATCACAATGCATTGGATTGAGGGGTGAGCCGGAGACAAGGGAGGGGTGATATGGGGGACGGTCGGACCTCCTTTTAGGAAGAGTGACTGTGAAGGGAAAGAGGGTTGCAGCTAAGCAGGCGCATAGAGCAGAAGATGACATTCATTATTATATTATTATTATTACTGAGGCAGGAAAGTTAGAGCAGGGAGCAAAGGCCTCAAGCTCGGCCCCTCCCCTTCTCCATCTTGGATAGAACATCACAGATGCGACCTCCACGGACCGCCTGTTCCGCCGCTTCCCCCTCCTCAATTTCCTGTAATTGAGGGGATTCCTTGTGCCCCCCCCAATCGATGCCTGGAGAGGAGAGACAAGGACAGGCAGCACAAGCAGTCACCCACCAGCGTCAAGGCAGAGGACCACCCTAGCTCCCCTAACCTTGCCCATGTTTCATAAAAATCTTCCACCCAGGCCCCATGGGCGCATCTTGATCTCCAAGGTCACCCGCTCTCACTTCTCGAGTGGGTGCTATCACTTCCGTAAGTTTACTGTGCTTCGCTAAATCTTTCCATCACGCCCTTGAATTCCTTCTTGGGCCGCGACAAGGACCTGGATAGGGGCCGAGGCCTCGCTCGGCCTCCCGGGTGCCGCCTGGCCCCAATGGCTAATATCATTACTGTCTTCACGTGGAAGCGGCTGCTGGAGCCTTAAATACTGAGGGGGAAGAACCTGTGGAAGCAGGTGAAGGGTTCGGCTGGGAGAGCAGCGCCCGTGCGGAGGGCAGGCCACGTCACGGCACCTCGGGCAGGGGGACCCTTCTCCACCCCAGACTGGAAAGAAGGAGCCGCTGACGGGTGTGGCCGCTGCGGCCCCAAGTTCACCTGGGATGCAGGCGGTGAGGTAATTCGCCGAAAGGGACTGGGGAGGTGACAACGTTGGGCTCTTGCGTAACAGCTGACCCCCTGAAACAGCTGTGTGCATTGTGGGACGGGAGTTGAGGGGGACATGGGGGAGGAATTCCAGGCAGCGTGGACGACCCCAGTGAGATAAGACACCCTGACGTCGTCATGCGAGGGATCCAAGGAGCTTTGTGACCTGTCTCCACCCTCAGTCGGGCTGGACCGAGAGGGTGGAGGTCGGGGCTTAATCAGGCGGGAGTGAGAGGTGAGGGCTGAAGCTTCTGCCAGGGGTGTCGCTGAAACAAAGGTCCAGCTGGAGGGAGGAAAGCCGGCGGGAGAGAGGAGATGGGGGGGAACGGAGGCGGCCAAAGTCCACGGCCGAGGGGGGCAGGCGGAGGGTGGACCGGAGCAGTCCAGGGAGCAGAGGCGGCCGCTCTGGGAGGGGCCTGGGTGTCGGGGGCAGACGTGGGGCAGGTCACAGGGTGGCAGAACTGGTACCGGGAACCAGCAGGATTCCGGCCCCACCTCTGCGGTGTGGGAGGCAGGGTGGGGAACTGCGGTCCTGGGAACAAGCCAGGTTTCAGGCGGGTCCGGGCGCAAAGGCAAGAGCATGAAAAGGCGGCTCGGAGATGGAAGAGCACAGGTCCCCGAGGACACGACAGGAGGCGGGGGGGGGCACGGGGTCAGCTGGAACAAACCAGAAGGGTGGCAGCGCGGGGCTTATAGCGAGCGCTCCAGGCAGCCTCCGGCCTGGGAATTCCACCAGCGCCCCGGAGCAGCGCCTGGCGAGGCCGCGTCCCGATACCGAGGCACCTGGGCAGGGAGCCCTCGGGCCTTTGGGTGGTGCCCCGAGGGTGACGCAGCCCGAGAGTTTAGACACGGAGCTGGCATTTCTTCACCTTTTCTATCTCCCAGCAAGCCCTACGTGTAAACATGTCAGACAGGTGACTTTAGGCACCCCCTTATCTGTCCTCAGAACCTCCCACAGGACTTCGGACCTGACCGGGGTCAGCCACACCATGCGCCCTGTGCCCGGGCTGGGGGCGGGGTGCCCCTCCCTCCTCACTGTCCTTTCTTTCCTTGTGTCAGTTGCAAACCAGGAGCATGTATCACTTTTAGAAACTTAGGAGACTTTACTTTTTTAAGAGAGAGAGAAAAAAAGGCCCTGGCCAGGTAGCTCAGTTGATTAGCGCATCGTCCCAATGTGCCAAGGTTGGGGTTCGATCCCCAGTCAGGGCACATACAAGAATCAACCAATAATGCATAAATAGGTGGAATAGCAAATCAGTGTTTCCCCCTCTCTCTAAAAAATCAATTAAAAATTTTTAAAAATTAAAAACATTTTAAAAAATACAGTTTGTAATGTGATCAGTGAACTAGTGAGTGCCTAGGAAGGCTGCTGCTGATCTAAGAGTTGATTGCTCAGGTTCGATTTTTCTTTTTTGGGCCAGAACACTGCGCAGTGGAACTGTGTGCCTTCCCGATTCATCACAGCAATGTCACTGATCAGTTGCTTGCTCCGCCTCATTGATGGTCGGATGGACCCGGCAGGCCCAGGTGCTGGCCTGGTCCCTGCACTACGACACTGCAGCTGGTGATAACGATCGTAGCCCGGGTTTATTATTTCACCGGAGCTTTGAAAGAGGTGACCTTCAAACGTAATGACTTCTCCTGCATTTAGTCACTGTGGTTCTCCGTGGAAGAGCCTTCCCTCATCAATCGTTTGGTTGCCCTGAGATAGAATCTAAACAGAAAAAGGCAGGATAGACGCAAGGGAGGGGGGCAGCAGGTGTAAGGCGGCCAGGAGGAAACAGTGAGCCAGGTCCAGACTCCAGGAAATTCTATAGAACAACTAAGCTCTCCAGTAAATGGCACTTTTTAAAAAAGAAAGAAAAAAGGAAGAGAGAATGGTTAGAGATGCAGAGACTGGGGATATGTGATCCAAATGGACACGAGGGTCCTGATTTGAGCTGCCCACTGTAAACAGGGGTTTTTTTTGTGTGTTTTTTTTGCAACTGGGGGAAAGTGAACATGGACTAGGTATTAGATTATATGAAGAAACAGCTATTAAGTTTGTGAGGTGTGACGGTGGTGGTGGTCGAGATGCATATTCAGGTATCTATGAGCGCGAGACAATGCCTTTTATTCGCTTTAAAGTACACCAGCAAGCCCTGGCTCGGTGGCTCGGTTGGCTGGCGGGTGTGAAGGAAAGTGGCTCAGGGACAGCCGACGGGAGGTAAAAGATGCACGTGCCTGGGTTCAACGGAGCAACCCTCAGCTCTGGGTGCCAGCGATCCTTCCAGGTCGCTCTTACTTGATCCGCCCTTTGTGTCCTATTTCTCTCACCCTGACTTTGGGGGTGGTTATTCCAGCCCCATCCTCCCTGAGCCTTGGTCTTTTCATCTATGAACTAACAATAATAAGACTCAGAGTAAGGGCTGGTGGGCAGATTCAAAAAGATTTAAGCAAACCTGGCTCCAGGCCTGGGCTCTGCAGCCCTTCGGAAATGAAAGGTTTCTCTCCGCCCTTCCTCAGTGCCCTGCAGAGCAGCAGACGGGCTCTGAGCCCGATCACCTATTTCCCGCGGGTCCTTGAACTTGGGGGCTGGTTTGGAAGGAATGTAAACACCGGTGAGGGACTCCTGTGGCATCAGAAATCAGGCCCAGTCCTAACAGAGCCACCGCTCAGAACCCAGAGTAAAAAAAGCATCTGCAAGGTGCCCGCTTACCCTCCTGGTGCTCCAGCTCCCCGAGGACAATGTACAGGGAGCCCGGCTGGGCTCGGAACGGCTCCACCAACTTGGTGCAGACGAGGATCTGGTGCTGCTCAGGCCCGTGCTGGGCCGCCAGGGTCACTCGGGACTGGGTCATGTCGTAGAGGCACAGCCTGCAAGTCGGGGAAAGTGCGATTGTTTCTCTCCACAGACCCAACCACCACAGAGCTTGAAAGGGTTGGGGAGGCCAATAACTCCAAGGGGAAATGGTCAGCCTCACTTTGACAGACAAAATAAAAATGGCAGCAACAAATCCCAACAACTGCTTTCAGTCTAGAGTGTTGAGCTATAAATTACATCCATTTAATATTAAAAGGCACCTGTCCAGCGAGACTTGACAAAATACACCCTTGGTGTAACCACTACCCCAGTCAACATCAGGTGCATTTCCATCACCCCAAAGTTCCCTTGCGCCCGTCTGAAGTCCACCTCTCCGTCTCCCACCCCAGGCAACCACTGATTTGCTTTTGGTCTCTATAGCTGAGTTTTCCTGTTCAAGAATCTCATGCAAATGGGATTTCTCAGTTCTTTCTCTTTAATTCTCACCAGAGGATATTTTTTCCATTACTTTTTCAGAGAGAGTGGAAGGGAGAGAAAGGAACATCGATGTGAGAGAGACACACAGATTGGCTGCTTCCCAATCATGGCCAGGGCTGGGGACCAAGCCTGCAACCGAGGCGTGTGCCCTTGGCCGGAATTGAACCCGGGATCCTTCAGTCCACAGGGTGGCACTCTAACCACTGGGCCAGACCTGGCTGGGGCCAGCACGGCTCTTTTGTGTCTAGCTTCTTTCACTCAGCAGGATGGTTTTGAGATCTGTTGATGTTGTTGAGTAAATCAGTGCTCTGTTCCTTTCCATCGCTCAATAGCACTCTGTTGAATGGATGTCTTTGTCGAAAATCAGTAGATTTTGGTTAAGTCAACAGATTTTGGTTAAATAAATTATGATATATCTATGCCATGGTATAAAGTGGATTTAAAGCGATGGCACAGATCTATACACTTGGCGCAGAACTAGGTCTACCTGGTAAATAAATAAATGGTACCACCTAGTAATATAACAGGATCTCATCTAAGTTAAAATATTTCTACATAAAGGGTGTCCCCCCAAAAATGTATGCACACACTTTGAATAATTATAAAGGCAGTATTTATTAAAATATATTTCATTTTCAAAATTGAGCTATCAGCTGTTAAAGTGTGTATACATTTTGGGGGGCACCCTGTATACGTACACATACTTCTCCAAGAGAGTCTTGTGAGGAACTGAGTCTTATGGACAAGGCCAGCACTAACTTGCCAGACATATGAATGAGCCACCTTGGAAGCAGACCCTCTAGGTCCCGTCCGGCCTTCAGACATTGGCCCAGCTAATCTACTCCCAAGTTCCTGGCCCACAGTAACTATGAAATAATAAGCTTTTGTTTTGTTTTATTGATTTTTTTTTTTTTTTAGAGAGAGAGGGAGAGGGAGAGGAAACATCGATGTGACAGGGAAACATCGACTGGTTGCCTCCCATATGCACCCCTACCAGGGATTGAACCTGAAACCTATATACGTGCCCTGATAGGGAATTGAACCCTTGACGGGTATGATGCTCAACCAACTGAGCCACACCGGCCAGGGCCGAAATAATAAGCTTTCGTTATCGTTTTAAGCCACTAAATTTTGAGGTAATTTATTACACAGCAATACATGACTCATACAGTATATATGTATGTGTGTATGTATATGTGTATATATGTGTATATAGTGTGTATACATACCCAGCCACATATACATATAAACATACACACACATGAAAAAGTGTGTAATCACCAAAAGATTAGCAGTGGTTGTTGAGACAGTGGGATATCGGGTGATTTTTTATTTCTTTCTTTACACCTTTATGGATTGTCTACATTTTTTTTTACAATGAATGCATCTTAAGTTTTTAGCATTTTAAAAATAGACAAAATTATGATTATTTAAATTTGGGGGGGAGCCACTTAAAAACCCCCCCCTTGTGAAGAAGCCACCGCTCTCACCTGCCGAACGTCCGCAGCGCGCCCCCGTCGGGGACCTGGCCGGCGCTGACCTCCCAGGGGAAGTAATAGGTCCCAGGCTTGGGCAGTGCCATTGGCTCCTGTCACCAAAGGCGTGGGATGGGTTGTTGCAGATTTCTGACAAACCAAGCAGACCACGAGATGGGGATTAACAGATGCCTGAGACCCACAACGTCGGAAAGGCTAGTTCCAGTGGGTGGTGGTTTAAATTTTTTTAAAAACATCTTTTTGATAGGTTATGCCATCACAGTCTGAAGAACAAAACTACGTACCTAAGCTCCTCCTGCTCCAGTCCCCTGCCACCCACCCCCTTCCT